GGTTTCTAATCGCCGATGCTTACTCGTTTAAAAGATTATTTTATTAATTAATCCAGTAAAAAACAGTTCGGTTTCTAATCGCTGATGCTTACTCACCTTAAAGATTATTTTAATATCTCATTTCCAAAAAAACAGTTGGGGTTTAATCACCGCTGCTTACTCACCAAGGCAGACATTGTTAATAAATATACTGATAAACTATTGGGTTTCTTATCGCCGATGCTTGATTGCTTAAAAGGTTATTTAATTAAATTAAATTTTTTTTTTGTGATTCAAGATTCAAATCCTAATTGAATCGTTATTATTTCTTGAATCTTTGAATCCCGTGGACAGCCCCTCGGTTATCTATATCCGTTTAGTGCTCGTTTTTTCACCTTTTTTTTTCCTCCACATTCTAGTCATCGGCACACTTTCCAATGCAGATATTTATTTTTACGTGTCCTATTATATATATGTGTATCCAAATATGTGTCGTGTGCAAGTGGAAGCAAAGAAAAGTATAAGTGTAGGCACAGGGACGTGTACTATTGCTCCGAGTGCACTGCAAAAATTCCTCAGCTGGCCGGCCGGAGATGAGATGGAGAAAGAAAGATTCCGATGAGCGGAAATGGGAAAAGAGATAAGAATCTCGCGATTTTCATCTTCGCCGGTGGACGGGGATTCATTGTTGATGGTTATTGCCGGCCCAGTTCGACGAAATCGCGCGTGCCAAGGGCGCCTCGGGGACGGAAGAGGGAGCGATTTTTTCCTCCGCGAAACGAGACGATTGATAATACCGATTTCGCCGAGCGATAAATTTATACGGACCCCCGCGAAACCTTTTTTTTTTCTTTTTTCCTTCTCCATCTGTATAAAACGGCCCTTCACGCGTTTCATCCCTCGAATTGAATACCTTTGACTCTCCTGCACGAAGGAGGACCTTTTTATGAATTTATAGCGCCTATGGATAATTTATAATACCTATGTTGTCCGAGTATCGCATTAAGGTCTTCTTTTGTTATTCTCTTCTGTTCCAGAAAGTGCCACAGCTCCCAAGTGTTCGTCAAAGACAACCTGACCCACTGCATCAACAGCTGCAAGGAGGAAACGATGTGCGGGGAGGTCGTAGTGCCCGAGGAGCACCTCGACGTGAGATCCCTTTCGCAAAATTCACGGATAAAATAAACTCGACCGATGTGTGTAACGAATGATGTTGAATTTCGCAGGCGTGTCGAGTGTGCAACGAGGCTGGGCAGAACTGCCGCGTGGAGCCGGGCAGCGTGCCGGGCGAGGGGATCAACGGAGCTGACTTTGTCTTTTACGTCTCGGCCATGTCGACCGAGCGCTGCAAGAAGGGCCTCACCGTGGCTTACGCCGCCCACTGCCAGCAGGAGGCCGCCCTCGACCGGTCCGTATATATCCACGTATACATATTTGTTGATTCGGTGAATTTTTTTTTCTTTCTTCTCTTCTCTTCAAACACTCGTACGTTCGTTTGGTTGGTACACCCGCAGTACCTCAATAGATAGATTTATAATGCCAAGAGAAACTCCCCTGAGACGAATCTTAAATTTACATTGTTCCTTGAAGTTCTGACATCCGCTGGAGCAACCGAGCTGCTGTTTTCTTCCTCCCTGCAGTATATTTGAGCAATAACAATGACGATGATTGTACTGCTCGTGCCAAATGTACTTTATGAAATGGCTCGTGGGTCGTCGTGAAGTCCCTTTGATTCGAAATCCTGTAGTTTCGTGGCCGGCTGCCACGGGAAAATTGTTAACGGCGAGCCGTGTTGTTGTGATTGAGCGGCGAATCAGCAGAGTTGAAATTGAAAAAACCGAAAGAAAGAAAGAAGGCATTGGGTGTAGGAGTGAAAAAAAAAAAAAAAAAAAAAAAAAAAAAAAAAAAGAGAGACACGTTCCTGATTATCTGTAGCTTTGTTGTTCTGCTTTTCGTGTGCACGCAGGCCCATAGCCGGTCACGCGAACCTCTGCCCCGAGAGCATAAGCACGAAGCCCCAAGAGCTGGAAACACTGCTGAGCACGGTCAAGCACGAGATCCTGCACGCCCTCGGCTTCTCCGTGAGCCTCTACGCCTTCTACAGGGACGACCAGGGCGAGCCCAGGACCAAGAGGACGGAGACCGGCAAGCCGGTCCTCAACAAGGCGTGAGTGTTTCATTATCACAACGCCATACCACACTTGTCTGGTCATCCCGTTGATCATCAAATATATATAGTACACACAGTTTTCGGTTAAATATTCAAGATGGGATTGGGCGATAAAACAAAGGCGTTTGGCGCGAATGATTCAGCTGCGGGGAAAAGGGCCGCTTGAATATTCCAACGGCGTTGAAAAATGTGTAACAACGCGAGAGAAAAATCCGAAGCTTTTTTTCTTCGGATTCCCCGACGTCCGTGTGTACGTATCAAAATTACGCGGCCCCTTGAATCTCACAGCCTGGCGGCTTTATCGCGTCTGCAGCGCTCGCGCGAGGAATTTCCCAATTTCAAAAGCAAATACACCCCACTGTCGGGGGTGGCGCGGACTTCTCTCCCCCACCCATTTGTGTATGTACCTTTTTTTACAATTCTACACGCCGTTCGCGCGGGTGTTGACAAATAGGTGGGAGCGGAACGATCCGGAGCACATTTCCCCGACTTGCAAAACAGCTGCTCGTGAAAACTGGACGTGCTCCCCATGTATACTCCCCCAACCGCGCGAACGGCGATCGATCCATTCTCTCCGGGCAGCGGAGGTGATAAATGACACGGAGACCTCGTGGGAAACGCGGGTTAAATGTCGCGAAAATGGGAAGCCACAACTACTTTCTCTCATCGCTTATTTCTATTACACACACAGGTGCACCCAAAACTTACGTTTTATGGCTCCGGGGGTGACTTTTTGCTCGCGTCGGAGATTTTCCCGTACACGTCTCAAGTTATCTTGGGGGGGTGGGTGATTTAGTTTGCAGACGCACCAGTGGAGCGACAACACGATACGGACGGTGATCAGGCACAGCTGGCAGGTGCACGGGGGCAGCATGAGACGCTCGATGCAAATGATCGTGACGCCGAGGGTGAAGGCCGAGGTCAGGGCGCACTTCAACTGCCCCGACCTGGAGGGTGCCGAGCTCGAGGACCAGGGCGAGAACGGCACGGCTCTCACCCACTGGGAGAAGCGTGTCTTCGAGGTCAGTTGTCCTTTGGTTTTTTTCTTTCCTTTGTCACCGTGGAAAAACCGATCGAGCGTGTACCTGCGAGCTTCTGCCAAGTATGCGCTCTCGTTCATTCCATCCGTCCAACTATTCCGGCTGGCATAGTTTGCGCGAACGTTCGATTTTCGCGTGATTACGTGAAATACGATGGCGCTATACGGTGCCATACCTCGGGGGGGTTGGTTCACCAAAGTACGAGAATTTTCAATGAAATATTTGCGCGCTCGGGGCCCGATTGTTCGCGAAAACGAAACGATATTACATTAGGATCGACTCTCGCATTAATTTCCCGCGGAACGTATGTCGAGTCAAATAAATACGTCGGTCCCGGGGAATGACGCATGACGATTTTATGCTAAATATCAGGACCCGTCGCGTGTTATTAGTGTCGCGCACCGTCGTCGTTTAAAAATAGGTGAAAAATAATTCTGATCGATCGCGCGCGCAAATATGTAAATGTGGCATATTGCACGAATACTGATCAGCGAATTTCATTGCTGGTGTATAAATATCTCTTGTACCATCATTATTTATTCGTCATTTGAGCTAACAGAGACGCGCGATGTCATGATTGTCGAAAGATTTATCGCCTGAAATCCTTGAAGTTTGAAAAAATAAAACAATGAGGAGTACACGTAAATGCGTGGTCATGTCGTCTTTGTTGTCGTTAATGAACCCGGTGGTGGGCGGTCGTGAGAGGCCAAAATCCGGGCTTGTAGCGCTCAACAGCCGGGCGATAATTGACTCTCGATGTACCTGCGCAGAACGAGGCGATGACGGGCACGCACACCCAGAATCCCGTGTACTCGAGGATTACGCTGGCTCTGATGGAGGACACGGGCTGGTACAGCGCCAACTACTCAATGGCCCAGGAGCTCGGCTGGGGCCGAAACCTCGGCTGCGACTTTTCCATGAAATCCTGCAAGGAGTGGATCGTCCAGAAATCCTCGAAATTCTTGTACGTTCCCATATTTACACGCCACACAAGTCATTTCTTTTTTTTCCAATTTGACATTTTGCATTTATAAAATCGGCTCATGCATATTTCGTGTTTACTTATTGCTGCTAATGATGAATAATAATAATTAACAAATAAAGGGAAAACAATGATCCGTGAGTACGAAAACATTACAAATCGTTTGCGCGTACACGTGTATACACAGTGGGTTGAGCGTGTCGCTATGTTTTGTGATTTTCCAGTGGCAAATCGATCCATCCCTTCTGCAACAAAGTGAAACGGGATCCCCTGCAGACGGAGTGCACGGACGATCGAAGCTCGGTCGCCCTGTGCAACCTAATCGAGTACCCGGAGCCCCTGCCTAAGCAGTATCAAGTTAGTTTCCGTGCTCTTTCAACACCAATCAGCCGACCAACCAATCAAACTTTAGACCGCACCTCTTGTTTTTTGTTTTTTTTTGTTTGCCACGCTTTAGAACTTTGACAGCATTCCCAACGTTCCGCGCGGCCGAGAGGAGTACTACGGGGGCTCGGTGTCGCTCGCCGACTACTGCCCCTACAACCAAGAGTTCACCTGGCGGGCCAACAACACGATAGTGCGTGGCTCGCACTGCCTCTACGAGGACAACAATCCACGTGAGTCAACCGGTCACTTTTTTTTTTTTTTTTTCACCCCTCCCAAACTGATAATGTCGACTGTTGTATTGTTGTTCTCAACAGTATCGAGTTCTCGTTACTAATAATTATGCTCGCCCGCGTGGCATCGATTTTTCACCATCACCATAAAAGATAAAAAAAAAAAAAAAAAAAAAAAAAAACTCGGACGAGCAAACATTCGAAAGAGTTTACGCGCAAAGTTGCGGGGCCGCGCGTACTTATAATAAAGATAAAACTTATCGAATGGGAAAAATTGATCGGGGGAGAGTAGTGAGTTCTCTAGAAGCCGTGGGTAGAGAAAAACCATTATAAGCAGAGTTCGATGAAATTTTCAAATTTCCGAGTAGTGCATCCGGCGTTGAAGTACGAGCGATGTATAAAACGGGGGTTGGGGGGAAGTTTGTACAAAGAGAACGGGCCGTCGAGTTGGAACCGATGATGCGGAGACCGCACACGTGTGCACTTCGGCCCGAGCTCTTTACGGTTACATTTGCGGGGCGCGTCGATGCTTTATTCCCTGCACTTGTGCTCCGTCGAACTTTCGAGGCCTCAAAACTTCGGTGCAGCGTTTGACGAGACCCGCACGAGGGAAAGAAGAAAAAAAAAGCAACGTGATACCAACTCATCTTCTTTTTTTTTTTTTTTTCTTACACATCAGCGACAGGCAACGCGGGGTTGGTTACTCGGGGGTGTTTACACAAGCGCTCTCGGTTTTTTAGATCCCGTTTCTCGCGGGTATGGGTAAGTAGCTTCGAAAGTCGAGCGTGTCGATGTCGACTAGCTCGCTAAACCCCAAAGTCGCGCCATGATACCTTCTCACCAACCCTCAAGTTTTTGCAACCTCGTGAGAAAGAGGGAGCTGGTATTTTTTACGTTCAACCATTCAATCAATCGACATTTCCATTCAAAAGGGCTCACAGCAATGTGATGGTATACTTTTGTTGCAGATCCACAAAAGAACTTTGCGCTGGAGAGGTACGGGGAGCAGTCGCACTGCTTCGACCACACCAATCAAATGTGGGAGGAGAGGACGTGCAAGCAGGTCCGGCAGTGGCAGCACTGGGGCTCGGGCTGCTACCAGTACAAGTGCGAGGCGGGCCGGCTGCACATTATGGTTAGTACTGGGATGGGGGTGGAGCATAATATCGCGATCGCGCGTGCCTCCGCGCTAACAGCCCCAATTATCACCCCGTGCCGCGCTTTCGACTCCCGGTTCGGATGCTATGCACCTGTATGTGTATACACATGCACCACCGTCGAATACTCGCGGCGTTCCCTTTTCCAGAGTGCCGTATATACATATACATATAGCGTCGTCACCGCCGATGCCACCGGCAGCTGTTATATACCATTACACCGCTGCTGCGTGTGGTACTTGCACCAATATGTACATGGGTACGCGTTCTCGTAAAAGAGCTAGCCGCTGCTTGGACGAAAAATATGTTTTGGCCTCGAGTTGCGCGCGTGTAATGGCTCGGCAAATGGTACTCGTTTCTCTTGCTTGACTGTCTTTTTTTTTTTTTTCTATTTTTTCTATTTTTCCCACGTACCCCTTGCGCGTGGAGTTTTGCTCGGCTACATTAAATAAACGAGGCTCTTTGCGTTATTGAAGATGTGGGCTCTTTTTTTCCTGAATCAACCGAGCAGGTGCTTCGTAGCATTTGTACCGTAAAAGAAGTATGATTGCGCGAAGTAAAGGTGCATTAAATCAGTGCACGCCTTGCCCAGCGGTAAATCAACGGTGGCAAGAAAAGCTCATGCCGTTTGTTTCGTGCGCTTCGCGTCCGATAAGAATATCCACTGTGGAGGGCGATTCGCACATTAGCGCGATATTCATCGCGGAACAGCAGAGGCTCGAGTTATCTCGCATGCCGAGAAAACAAATCCGCGTCCCCCCACACGTTGGTGTACCTATACAGGTGCAGCAGTGCCCATTATCTCCGTGTTGTTGTTTGCTCATGCCTCTCTTTCTCCGTATGCAGGTCACGAATTACACGTACACGTGTTACCACGCCGGCCAAGAGATCGCCATCAGGATAATGCAGAACGAGTGGCTGCACAAGGGCGCCCTGATCTGTCCACCGTGCAGGGATCTCTGCCAGGTAGCGTAAGCTATACCACCGCAACCATCCCCCCTTCTTTTTTTTTTTTTTTTTTTTTTTAGAGATTGTTGAAAACATTATCTACCCTAAAAATAGTTTGGTTTTTTTTTTTCCTCTTTGGGAAACAAGATGAAAAATGTTATAATTTTAGGATGAATTTGCCCGACGCAACGAGCTGTGCAAACCGGGGGACGAGCACCCGCCGGCCACGTTTTACCACCGAGACGTGCTCGATTGCGACTCCGCGGCGAACTGCGGCCTGAGCCTGTCGACCCTGAGCCTCGGTGTCCTCCTCCTCTTCGTCTACAGATGATCTTAGAGCTGCAGCTACTTTCCGTCGTTACCTACCACCGAAATCAAGGAGTGATTAAAAACCTCGAGGTCTCGTCACACGTGAGCTATACATGTCTTTTTTTCTTTTTTTTTCACTTTCCATCGCTCGGTGCGCCAACGATGGAGGACCTCCGTGATTTCGACTAGACAATTGTGATTTTTGAGGAGGTGCGAAAGTATACTGTACTTTGCTGAGCTTCAGCTCGGACTTGGATTTATTTGTGTCATACAGTTCCCGTCCTATAATACCTTCAGATTCCTACGGGATGAAGTCGAAGTAGAAGTTTTAACAATAAAAAAAAAAAAAAAAAAATCTTTGTACAGTAGTCATACTCGTTAAAATTTACATGTAAAATAAATTTCGTTACTTTTGCACCTTCTCAAGCAGTTTATAATATTCCTCGTAACTTAGCATTTAGGGTCGAATCAATTGTTTGCCCGATGAGTGGCGAATTAATCAATTTTTTTACCCTTGTTATCGATTTTCCAATTGTTAAGACTAGGTGTATCATATTTTTAAAGTATGCTTGTTGCCATTCAATTCCGATGTAAGTTTGTTGAGTCATAAGTAATTTAGATTATTTTAATTTCGATAAGATTAGTCACTGAAAGTGTTGGAGGATCATTACATTTTCTTGCATTCCATGATAAATTTTTAAACATGTAAATAATAACTGTACAAGTCAGTTTTAGATTTTTTTTAAACTGTTGAAGCATTCCAGTATGTAAATATGCTCAAATTTCTGAACCAATAGACGTTTCATTCTATTATTGGGATAGAATAAATTTATGGCCACAGGAGAACAAATAATTGACATGTGTAAAATAAAGTAATTTAAAGTTGTAAGAAGCAAGTGGACAAGGTGTTTATGGTGAATTGTAAATAAATAAATAAATAAATAAAAATAGTTCATATTTAAGCAGAAAAACTGTAAACATCGTGTTACGAGAAAAATTACCAAACTCACGAACAAAAAGTTTTATTCTTACATCCATACATATTTTAGAATACGTTTAATTTGTTTCACGTAGTTTAAGATGTATCACGAAAGAGAAGTCAAGAACTTGACATCACAAAAAATAATTATACATATTCAATCAAATTGATTTTCACGCAATGTGAATACGTTTTTAAATTAAGAATTTTCATGTCGTTGTTTAACATCTGTACTTTGAAAGTAACAATTCCTTTCTTACATGATGTGATAATTTATATTTGATTCGAACAATAAGAAATGTTGACCTATAGAATTTGAGTGAAATCTGTTTTGTAGAGAGAAAAAAAAAATGTATAAACGACCAAACGAATTGTCAAATGTACTCAATTTTTTAAATATTCATTGAAATCAATCGTTGATTTGGCCGTTGTTTGAATAACGTTAGTTGATCCCTTGTTTTTGAGGCATTATTGAATGTTACATCTATCGAATGTTATTTTAACGCAGTTACGGTCAAAAATGCAATTACGAGCCAATTAAGTATTTATTTACACGAATAATAAAAAAATATGTAAATTTTATCATTGACTGAGCGGAATTACAAAAAAACATTTTAAAAAAAAGAAAGAACAATTTGTACTTTCCTCTCATTCCTAAACTCGTACCGCCTGTTCCAGCGTATTTCCCTTCACAAATTTGTCCAACTCCCTCACGGTCAAACGACCAAGGATATTCCATACAATTTTTTCAGGCAGACTCTCGTAGTTAATTGTTCTCAGAAGGCTCCCAAGAGCCGCGTTCAAACATTCTTTCGCCGCATCGAGAAGTTTTCTCCTCTCGAGCGCCAATCCGGTGCGCACTTTTATAATGTACTCGTAACTCTCGAGATCCTTTTTAACACTCATGTTTGCAATGGCATCACAGTTGGCCCCATCCCCCAAGAACTTGACCAACGCATCGAGCCTCTTGCCCAGGACGTCGAACTTCGACACGCCCTCGATTATCTCGTCCCCCCTCAGTTGATCGAGCTTGCTCTCGCAAGCGGAGATAACTTCCGACAGCTGCTCGCTCGACTCGCTCAATTTACCGTACGCGGATATCAAGCTCGGGTGCACTTGGTGCAAGCGGGCATCGATCACGTAGTAATAGACCAGCAGGTGGGTGAGCTGGCTCCAGCTCGAGTTCGTCGTGGCGTACTCGAGGGCGTAGGTCAGGGCGTTTTTCCCAAAGGCATCTTCCCTGTAAAGATCGGCGCCAAACTCCAGGAGTAAACAGCACAGCTCCACGTCCCTCGCATCGAACACTGCCACGTGAAGCGCCGTCGATCCGTAATCCACGCTCCTATCGCTAAAACCAACGCAATCAGCTTTACTTAATAATCTCGCTTGCTTATGAATATCATACGTATACAGGCAAAGGAAACAACCTGTCGACTCGGCAGCCAGCCTCGAGGAGCATTTTGGCGATTCGATACTGTCGCGACTTGACGGCATAGTAGAGCGGCGCCCTGATGACGTTGCCGCGGCGCAGAGTCTCGCCGCTGGCCTCGAGATCGTAGCCGATTTCAATGAACCGGTCCACCACGTGCGAGTAACCGAGAACCACGGCTACGCTGATCTCGTAGTCGGGGGCGATGCGCTCGTGGGAGTCCCTGCACCATCGGCGCAGCGTGAGTTTGCTCTGGAGCGAGGCCTCTTGGACCCCGGCGAGCTTGGCCAGCATGAAATTCACAATGTTCATGCTGTCGAGGGAGAGCGAAACGGCCAATTGAAAGGGGGTCTGGCCCTTGCCGTTGCGCGCGGTTATATCCGCCCCTGTGCGTGCAACCAATCCATCGTTTGGGTATAGGTGTAATAATGATATTGGGTAACTACGTTTTAAATGTAATGACAACCGTATTCCTCGACGAAAAGCCGGGTGATCCTCTCGAGGCGGCTGATATCGTCGCCCTCCTTGTCGAACTTTTTGTCGAGCAGCTGGTGCAGTGGCGTGTCTCCGTAGCTGTCCTTTGGATCGACGGCCGCTCCAGCCTCGAGCAATACTCTAATGAGACCCTCGTCCTTGGGCCAGATTCCAACAACAAGAGAAAAGGGATAAATTTGTCACTTATTTACAACAAACAGCTGTGTAATCGTGCATACCTCGTTGTGGGCAGCCAAGTGCAGGGCGGTCATGTGTTCGCAGTCCCGCTCGTTTACGTCGACGTTGTGCTCGAGCAGTATCCTGGCGGACGACTCGGTGCTCCTCCAGGTATCCTCCTGGTCGCGGTGCTCCCGCCAGCTGGACGCGAGCTCGTGCAGCGGCGTCATCCTCATTCGGCGCTCCCTCGCCCTGGCGTCGGCGCCGTGGCTCACCAGATAGCCGACCATATCGGCGTTTTGGTTCCTGCACGCGTGAAACAGGGCGGTGCACCCTCGCCTACCGCCGGGCTGGAAATTCACACGCGCGCTGAAAGACAAAGACAATGCACGTGTCGACGACTGGGAGTTGAAAAAAAAAAAAAAAAAAATTATACAATCTCGATATTTCATGGAAAAAGATGCTCTTGGTGGTAAATACGCGTATACCCGGCATCGACGAGCACCCGCACAAGGTCCAGCCTGTCCGTCTTGACCGCGTAGAGCAGGGGCGTGTTTTCGCTTACGTCGACGGCATTGGCGTCGGCTCGGTGCTGCAGTAGAAGCCTAACAATACTCTCGTGGCACGACTTTGCCACCAGAGCCGAGTGCAGAGGGGCACGCCCGTCGTCGTCGCTAATGTTCGGATCGGCGTTGTTTCCCAACAGCAACTCCACCGCCTCGCCCTGCGCTCACGTTATTGGCATTTCGTATGTGGTTACCATTCAAAATTTTTTTTTTTTTTTTTTTCCATCTTCGGACCTGGAGTTTCCTCGCCGCGACGTGGAGCGGCGTCTCGCCCCAGCGACCTCGAGCGTTCACGTTCGCCCCGTGTCGGAGCAGCGCGCCCATTATCAGCAGTCTGTCGCTGTCCTGGACGTTTATGGTGGTCCCGTGGTAAACCATGTGCAGGGGCGCGTTACCCTGCTGGTTCCTCTTGTTCACCGATGAGTTGTCTCTACAAATTAATGAACATTTCAACAAAAAGACAGTTGTTCCGTGTATCGTATTTACTGCGTGTGCGTTATTGGTTTCAGTAAGTATACCGATGTACAGTATAAAAGAATACGTTTGGGTAAGTACCTCTGCAAAATATTCTGAACCCGGGAAGCGTCGCCGAAACAAACCGCCACGTGAAGATCCATGTCCCTCTGCATCATTGTGTCGTTGAGGTCGCTTGGGCGTTAAGGGGCTTCACGGCAGTTTTGCTGATTCTCAAAGTGCCATTGTCAACTACAGGTATGCAAACATTGTTATCGTGTCGCACAACAGATTTTACCGCTCGGATGTTAAAAATCGAAGCTGTATAATTAATTTGTAGAAGAATAATAAAATATAATATACGCAAGGACAGAGAAACAGGTGGGTGCCTACTCATATGCTCTCGTAAAAGAAACAAACATTTGTTCCAAGGACGTATCGCTTCCAAGTGGATTTCAAAGGCCACCGCGTTTTTGGCGCTGTAGCTCCTGCGCAAGTGCCGAGTCTTTCGAGATGGCGTTTCGATGTATCGATAGCAGCTGGCTCGCCGTCGATACTCTCGTATCTCTCGGATTAACGCGCTAAATTCGAAATTTAAGTCAAGCTGGCGCTCTACTCCTGAATCTTGAATACAAAAAAAATAGCTACCCTATTTTATGGGGCTGATGAAAGCTTACAAAAGCTCTGTCTTTGTAAGTACCAAAGTAACAAACGTTCAATAAACCAAATGGGCGAGAGCTTAGCACAAGTTTTCTCGTTTTCAGAAACTTTTTTGAGACGAAGAGAGAGGGATAGGGGGACGCGTAAGGGGGTGTAGCGGGGAAGAAGGAGTTGCCGCTGGGTTATTTCGGTCTTGCGTGGGTGAAAGAGGTCCACGGTCGGAGGGGCCTCGCGACTATTTTCGAAGCCCCCGCGCATTCCGGCCCCCGGTGATATGATTCGAACCCCCCCCCCCCAACCCCCTTCTGTCCCACCCGGCTCGATTCCCGGGAATTAGAAAAAAAAACCTCGAGCTCGTGCGTGATTTTTCTCGATGCCCCCCCTTCCCTCACCCCACGGGTGGTTCTTCTTCAAAGCTCAGTTTTTTATTCGTTGGGGAGACTTTTTTTTTTTTTTTTTTTTTTTTCCTCAAGAGACTTGATATACAAGGTTGAAATATTAGCTTCTCTTTTTCCATATGAGATTTTTTTTTAATTCAATTTTTCAACGCTTTGATGGGGAAAAATGTAGCTTTAAAGCACTTGCAAGTCCAACTTGTAGGTATAGTTCATACGCATTGGCTCTGCGTAATTGTGCGGCCAAAGAAAACGAGGGAAAGGACAGCGAAGACGAGCGGCAAAATGTGCGGAGACAATACATGTGTCGTGTGCGCGTTGACGATGACGAATAAAATACAGATTCTACAACGGAGACGACTCGATTGGCTCGTCTATTGATTCGACCTTTTGAATTGTTATAAGCTCTCGGACTTTTTGTTTTACGTTTCGATTGTTTGTTTGTCGGGTGATGGTTCTAATGAAAAATTCGATGCCAACGTGCTTTCGAGGCTCCGACGCACGAGTTTAATTTAGTTAAGGAATTCGCGTGTGAAAATATTTTGCGCGAAGAAGAATACTGTCGTGAAATTAAATATTTGTGCAGACAAATCAATATTTTCAATTTTTTTGTTTTTGATCGATAAAACTCGTGCAATAAATTATACACACCGTTCGTTAACATGTATGCATGTTGGCTTCCTTGGAATGATAATTAGAAAAGATTTCAGGCCAAATTAATATTGATGTATGAGAAAAAGAAAACAAAATATGTAAAAAGTAGGTGAGTAGGAGACATCCCGAACAACAGGTTCGAGTATAATATATTTTTGTTGAATTCGTAACGATGCAAAAATGTCTTCTTTATTATTGTCAGGTAAAGAAGCAGTGTTGCAAATTAAGTGGCCCGAATAATTTGGAATGTAAAAGCTCGTTTTTTTAATAGAAGGGGGTGAAATGCAAAATCCACCCGCACTGCAATTGTTGGCGTATATACAATCACGCTAATCGCGAGCAAGACGGAAGATGAGAAAGCAGGAAGGAATGACGGAGAGTAGCAAATTAAGTAGGGGAGGAGGGGGGGTGGGTGGTACGTAAAAACAGAGAGAGATATAGGATGCAGCACATGCAACATGAGCGTGTAAGTACAGAGATCAGAGAGAGATGGAGAATTGAGCATATGGGGGAGAGATGTGGGAAAGAGAAAATTATATATAGTATAGGTAAGAAACGAACGTGTATTTTTTTACACGTACACACACGGGCGGGCGGGCGGGCGCGTCGGAAGAGGTGGGGCGCCGAGTTCTATTCGTGAGTGCGCGGACTTGCAGAGAGAGAGAGAGAGAGAGAGAGGAAAGCGAGCAGAGCTACAGAGTGCTTTTCTACATTAGTGTTTAAGCTGCTGCAATCGCCGCTGCGGGCAGAGAGCGCAAATTGTGCCGTGCCGTCAGTGCCGTGTGTTTGATACACGCGCCGCACACGCCGCTGTCGCTATACATATACTATACATATATATATATATAAGTACGCGCATATTGTAAAGTAATCAGTAGTGTAACCAATACTCATTATCGCATCGGCCGAGAGAAAGAGCCGACAACGACGACGACACGAATACTTAAATCGCGATCGACAAGTAATTACCAATTAACGTTGCTACATATATTATTATTTGTAATACGTAATATACTGATACCGCGTCAACTTTTTTCCTTTTTAATATTAACAATCGAGCGTCTCCCACTTCCACGAGTGACTCATATACACTTTTTCGTTTTCAAATCGAGAGAAAAGCTCAGTCGGCGGCGGCGGGGGGAGGCCCATTCTTGTTTTCGTCTGCAACACTGTTTGTTCTCTCTTACACTTATATAGGTACACTACAACAGCCAGCTTTCCCTTTAATTACTTCTTCTCCTTTGACTCAACCATCATAACAAATAAGTATATACAGTCAGCAGTGAGATGAGAGTGCTTTAACCTTTGGCTGTATAAAAAACAAGTTAGTGTTAGTAAAAGGTGCAGGGGGAAGAAAGAAGGAGACGGAGAGTGACAATTAAAACAATATACATGTCACAAGGGTGCTATAGCTATAGCTGTTGTATATGAAGGAAAAAAGGTTAGGTCAGCTGCGGAGTATAGTTTCGGAGTCGGCAGGAGTTTCGGAGTCGGGTTATATACATATGTTTCTTTTTCTCTCCCCCTACCTATACCAACAAAACAGCTCTCTCGCATATATGCTGCAGCTGCAGCTCGGCGTACATACGCTGCATATACGTGTTGTACGTGTAGCAGGCGGGCAGTCGGGCGTACTGCTGCTGATGCTGCTCCGTTGACTCCGCGGCTGGCCCAGCACAAGTTTTAAGTGAAAGGAGCCGTATAGGTACTTTATACTTACATCAGCTCACATATATACATTGCACACACAATACACACGTATACAACAACATTAGACCTACGCCGCTCGTAGGTTTCATACACGCTCTGCACTGTTAAGAACGCTGATGCTCTTGCAATATATCTCGTTACTTTTATTTAAGTACGGGCTCCCGCGGTCCGTGTGTCGTTTTAAACTGCCACCCGTAGCATACTGTCATTCATTATATATACCTATACCCTGCCGAGGGCTGTGATTGAGGCGTGCGGGCGCGCTCGTGACCGCGACAACGAATGTCTTTTTAAGTGTGATCTTACAATTAATATACCTTATACGTATATTATCTGATCTTTGAATTCTCCGTGTTGACAAAGATATTAGCTGCTAGAAAACGAACGAGAAGAGAGAGAGAGAGTGCAGGATACGTTGAGGAAACCTGCAGCCGAGCAAAGTGTGAGAAGAAGCCAGGATGAATGACGCGGAGGCCTATGGGGATGGCTACATGGAGCCTGAGGAGGAATGGGAGCGCGAGGGTCTCCTCGACCCCGCCTGGGAAAAGCAGCAGAAAAAAGTGAGTGTTGTTTTTGTTTTTACGTCCTGATTATCCACAAACCAAACACCCATGCAATAACAGATCATGCCCACCAACAACCCCCTTCTTTCGCTTGCTGTCTGCTCCCTCTCTCTCTCTTTCTCTCTGTTGTGTTGTCTACTGCTCCAAACACATATCTCTCTCTCTCTCTTTGTCTTGCGTTACTGGATAAGTATCATACTGTTTCTTTGTCTCCAACCAACCAAGGTGACGTTTGCGCTCCCTTTTTTTTTTTTTTTTTTTTTTCTTAATAATTATTTTGGTTATTATTGCTGTTTCACGTTCGATTCACTTTGGTACTGCAATGTTTACTTGTTGGTGCCACCGGGTGGTTTAAACTACAAGAATTATTTCTGTCGTGGTATCTTTGGGTAGAAAATTACTGTTGGAATCAGTTGCAAAGAAGGTACACATTTTTTCGTGCTATTATTTAAATTATCAATTTTTTCAACTGTTGATCTTTTATTTCAAAGTAGCTCGATGTATTTGGGTTTTTATTTTTTTCTGAGACTTGGTGCGTTTAAATATAAATCGTAAGTGTTAAGCTATGATCAAAGATACGAGATTTATCTGATTTTTTTTTTTTTTACATTTCCATAGTTATTTGCTTCCAAAAGAAATATAACAATTGGGTTATTACATTCATTTTTTTTTGCTCGTTTTTTATCTAAGAAAGTTATCTACATAGAGTGTACTATATTACATTTCAAAAAGCATTTAAAATTTGGTTGTATTACTACATGCAGATAAGACTTTGAAAAAAAAAATGTTCATACTGCAGCTTATATTTCAAACTTGTTATACTTTGATAAAGCTACTGATAAAGTCAAGTGTTGGGAATTATGTTTTGATTGTTCTCATATTGCCGTTAAGCTTGGGCAATGCAACTGCAGTTTTTATCAGTAACCTTTTGAAGCGGGGAACGAAATTTCGTGTACGATTTTTGCAGCAGGGAGTCTTTTAATTTTCTAAAATATTTTGTCGACCATTTGCATATGAGTAAAGTTCTTGAAGTTCTCTCAACCGTTGGCAACTGTTCAAGGCTTTTCTGGGGGCACGTCCTGATGAGCCCTTCAAAATACATTTTTAGATTTCGTCACTTATGATATAATTAACTGATAAATATACATTAAGTCCACAACTACACGTCGATACAAATTTTTTATTTCACGATTGTTCATTCGCTTGAAGTCAATCAGCTCAGTTTCAGATCAAGTTGTTTCAAAAGGCATTACAAATGATCGTAAATCATAAATGTTTATCCGGTACTCGTTCTTTCATTTGTACACACGCTCCATTGATTTCTAATCCATCAATATTGACCATAGACAGAGTATACGTGTACACACGTTGGTCTATTGATTTTGTGATAAAGTATTGTCATCTCGACGTACACACGTACAAAACTTTCAGCTACTTAGTCATCACCGTTTTGTAGTTGTTTTCACTTGCTCGGTGGCATACTTCTTTCTTGACTCACTTGATACACCAAATAATTGATTGCCCAATGTTATTTTTACGTTGGCGCACGTCACTTTCTACATGGTTATGAGGGGTTCTTGTAATATTTCACAACGTGGTTCGAGCAGAGCTTGCAATTTGAATAATTGTTTAATAAATAAGCCTCAAATATTTTAATGAAAGATCAACTTTGTATACCTCTGAATCTGAAAGAACAGGGAGGGCCCCCAGTGGCACCGAGTTGCAATATTGTGTGAAAAAAAAAAAAAAAAAAAACTTTCCAGACGTTAGTCATCGTTCGTTTTTTCTCAAGGGTACTCGCACCGTCATCACAAGAGCAAAGGTGGCCCGAGACGGAAGCTTAGAAGATTTTTAGAATTTTCTTTCGCTCTCGATGCGTGGTGATGTTCTCTCGGGTTGTTGAAATATAGGTCGATTCGCGCGAAGCCTACCTCCTCCGAAATAAACTCGTATATTGATGTTGCGGGCGATGTGTGGGGTGGTGGCCCGCTGCCGTTGCCTCCGATGCCACGCTGCCCAATGACGACGGCATCTCGAAAATTTTCTTCTTCGACCTACGTCGCGTCTCTCTCTTCTTCTCTCAACTTTTCTCGGTCGCCCGGATTTTATTATTAAACATTAGATTCCCGTATAGATTAATCCTCCGAAGAAGACGACATCGGGTGACTTGAAACACGATGCGACCCTGTATTTTCGAATTGTTTTCTTCTTCTTTTTCTCTCTCTAAAGCTAGCTACAAATCTTTTTTTTTTTTTTTTTTTTTTTGAACCATTAGTTTACGTACGAGAAAAAAACCGATAAAAGATTCTGGTACACTTATTATTGCCCTGACTCATAAAAAAACATGATGGATAAGGTTTTCAATTACTCAATCTGTGCTTCGAGAATAAATTATAACTCGTCATTTTCATAAATACAGTCATTAAATACAAATGTTAATTTTAATTTCGGAAAATTTCTTACAACAACCAACAAAAATAGTACAGTGTACGGAGTTATTTACAACCCCGTGAGAAAGACCGCAAAACGTAAAAGCGAAAAACAAAAAAGAAACAAAGGGAGCAATGGCGTTTTGCAACAATAATTATCGGAGTTACCTCGCTGCCTGGCACATAACTCTCGCTAGCGACAAAAGTAATCACCGAAAGAGAAAGTAACGCGAAAAAAAAAAAAAAAAAAATTCTCGTAGACACGGCGGTGTAGCGCATATAAAACACGAGCGGAGTAGAGCGAGGGAGGGCAGCGAAGGCTGTAATAGCTCAGCGTTCCGCTCCGGATATCTTCTCGCCTCGGCATTACAGCAGCAGGAATCTGCGATTCGAGAGAGAGATTAGATAATCCGAGTCAAGGTGATCCGCGTCCCTCGAGGTGCAAGTAGTATCGGGTCGCTCGCGCGAGACCGTCCAATTTTTCGCTGGCCTGCACTGCATCATCAACTGTATAGGCCCCTTGCGTGTCGTGCCCACTGTATATAGGTATACGCATGGCAAAATCGGATGGCTTTGGCTGAGAGCGAGCGAGAGGGGATCGTTAACCTTTGCGCGTGGAGGCCTACCTACGCCAGGCGGCGAGCCAAATCTCAGATTGGATTCGGGTGACCCACTCGTCGCCGCTTGACTTTGCGAGTCGCGAATTGTCATGCCGTCTCGTCGCCGTTGATCTCCAGACCCCATCACCGCACTCGTCCATCTCGTCCGTGAGTACAGCTGTCCCCCCATCAGTAAGGCTCCGGTGTTTAAGTACTCGAAAACTGAACGATTAAGTAATTATAAGCTGTACAGTTTTGCTCGGTTTCGTACTTTGTTCGCTTCGAGTATACCTCAAGTATATTCATACCGGATGGGTGACATGGAAATTCATCGGAATGGACTTGACAGGCGTGTTTTTTAAGGAACGGATGAAAAAACTAAAAAAATGAGCGACTGCAGCAGCCATTCCACGTTTGCGTTAATTGCCACAGTGGCCTACCCCGATTTTGGCGTGTCCTTCGCTCGATAGATACCTGTTGCATTGCCAAGTTTGCATCTAATTATATCAATTAGTTTCAAATTGATTATCGCTTCTGATGTACAACGTCCTCGTCCTCTCGTCTCTACCAATGGTACCACGCATTGATTTTTTAGGTCTGACCAACAACGCGAAAATTGTGCCGGGTATCTTACAAAATAAACAAAGACCCTCTTGCATGCGCTTAGGACACTCTTTCAACTAATGATGATTAGAGCGTGAATTAACGTGAATCATGGCGGCTTTTTTTGGATACTGAATACAACACTTGGTGATGCATCGCCAGCATAATTAAATCAGCAGCGTAATATATACCGAATAGGACAATTTAGAGAAGACAAACGATAAGTTTGTTTTTTCTTGAATCGTCAATCCACCTTCCGTGTACGTCATAATACTTTCATTCAAGAAGAAGTTGGGTGTTATTCCCTACTCCGAACCTGTACATTCGTCAGTTCTGCAGTTATACATTATACCGTTAAAGGAAGGTAGGTATGGATTTCCGTTGTCCACGTCATTATGTCCCCGCCGACGGTGCGAAAGGAACGGCTTTCAACGACGTTTAGCTCGTCATCCGAAGCTCGTGCGCAAACATGTGTAATAACATTCCATCGAGTCTACACCCAGTACATGTTTTGTGCGCTATACCTATACCCGCGAGTGGCTGGGCGCCCGTTCAAAAAATCCGTAATCCGTATTGTATAATAGCCCGCCATATGTGCCGTTGCCGAGGTGGTGGACGCCAATTATTACCACGAGTCTCTTTCCTCCCCGCGTCGTCTTCGCGCTTGAGGCGATTTTTAAGCTACCTTATACACCTATATATGTATATTTATGCTTACGGTACAAGTATAGCAGCCTCGAGCATGCTGTTGGTATAATTATTATTGAATCCGATTCAAAATCGTCAAAGTTGGTCGTTGACTTTGTTTTGAGAGTTTGCAACTATTGCTGTTGCCGATGTAGAGACGATGACGCAAAGAGCAAATCATACAGTCGCACGTTTGGGGAGTCTGTTGGTGCCCATCGAAAGGTATACACAGTGGCCTTCGATTTCAATTAGCTCCTCGCTGAATTCGGGCATTGCCGAGGGGATGGATGCACGTGGATGCTACTTTTACTTTTGGGCTCGACGAATAATTATATATAATATGCAAGAAAATTGAACGAGCAGAGCAGCGGTGTGTTATTAGCGCGTCCATTAAACGCGAGTAAACGAGCTTAATATCGTGTTCTTTTTAATTATAGTTTCCATAAATTCATAAACACGCGCGTATAATGCTATTATATACACACATACATCCGCGTGCCGTGGTGGTCTTCTAAATTGCTAAACTGGCTATTTTGAATTCACGAATGTGAAATATGGCACTTACCGACAAACGAACCTCTATTAAGAAGTCCAGCTCTCCCTCCTCTCTCTCTTGATTTATGCCAACGCTCGATGCTCAAATACAAATATCCGCAATTTTTTAGTTTCACCACTCATC